GGAAAGCTTGAACATAACATGCAATGGAACTTGGGTGGCCGTGGTGCGCACTACGTGTGCAACCACCCCCTTTCTCGGCCAACCTCAATAACATGGCTAATCATCCGAACATTAAGGCTAAATTAAACATGATATTGCACATAAAAGCTAAGCATGCAAGATTGTTCGGAGAATTCCATGAAAAACATAACATGGTTCGGATAAATTTATTTAAAATATAACATGACCGCACGGCAATAGCTATAACACGCATGCATGTCCATTTTAACATTTAATCCCAAGTGAACATGATATTCTAGGTTAAAGCCGATGGGAACTTACCTCTTGTTAAGCCTTCGGAGACTAACTCTCGAACTCTCGTGCGATAACCTTCCGCGTGCGTAGTGTGCGATGCGTGTACTCGTGCGCGTGCCTTGGACTCGGACCACCGTGGCGTGCTTGCGTGCGTGCGGGAGGCTCTCGACTAATGCCCACGAACAACACTCACAAAATCCCCACTAACTCTCTCTAACTCACTCTCGGCAAGAACACTTAGGCGTGAAGAAAGAATTGGGACAATGCCTCCAAACACTCTCTTATGCACAAGGCCGAAAGATAAAATGGGGAGTGAGGGAGGGATTTGGTCAAGGCAAGACACATGATACTCATGCACAAGGACTAAGGAACACTTGGCATGCATGCTCAACTCTCCCCTCATAAATTCACGTGAGCTAGGTGCAAGAAGTTGGAAGCTTGTGGGCAACACCCACAACACACGCACGGCAAACAAGGGAGGAGATAATGGAGCCAAAACACTACACTCAAACACAATTTCCCATGGCACAAGAGGACAAGGAGGGGAGCATCTTGGACAAAACACTTGCACGGCTTTCATGGACAATGTTGGAAGAATCTTGGCTACATCTCTCACATAATGCACGGCACTTGCACATGAAATTTAACAAAAATATGCTAACACTTACACAACATAAAGATATGTAATGCACACGGCATGAGCATGAAATTAGCACCTTAATCACGGCTTAAGGTATTAATCAAGTGATTAATTTCAATTAATCATAATTTAAAGCTTAATCAAATAATTAAGCATAATACCTAATTACCAAAATTATTTCGAACGTAAACGGTACGTCGAAAATAGTTCCGGTAATTTTTGACTGAAATAACTGAGAATAAATAATTCCGAGAAATAATATCGGAACTAAAATATTATTATACTGATAAAAGTTGGGATATTACATAAGGCCAACGTATGGTGGCAGTGGCTCACGTGCGTGTATCGCGGGCAGCAACAACCGATCTGGTTGGATGATTTTGAACGCGAGCTCCTTACGCGTTTTGGGAACTCAGATTATCATAACCACGACGAGGCACTGACTCGGATCTGGCAGACGGGGAGTGTACGTGACTACCAAAAGGAGTTCGAGAGATTGGCGTGCCGGGTTCGTGGGTGGCCGGAGAGCGCGCTTGTTGGCACGTTTGTTGGAGGGCTTAGGTATGATCTCGTGGCCGAAGTGCGATTGGAGAGGCCGCAGACCATGCACAAGGCCATGGAGGTTGCTAGGAGACGGGAGGATCACTTGGCCGCAACTCGAAGGGGACGGGCGAATTTTTGTGTCCCGGAGCCGCGGCGTGTGCCGGTGATCGTGGCCGCACCTAGTGCGAACGCGAGGCCGCTGGGCACCTTTAGGCCACCGGCAACCGAGGTGAAGAGGTTGACGGAGGAGGAGATGGCACGGAGACGTGATAAGGGGCTGTGTTTCCGGTGCGAGGAAAAGTATACGCCGGGACATCGGTGCAAACAGAATTTCTTGATCGAGTTCGTGGACTCGGATGACGAAGAGCAGGTGATCGAGGAAGAACGGGAGGTGGAGATCGAGGTGCTTAATGACGAGGCCGAGATCTCAGTCCATGCGATGGCGGGCACTAAAGGCCCGAGGACTATGAAGTTACCGACGTGGTTGAAGGATCGGCGGGTTACGGTACTCGTGGAAAATGGGTCGTCGCACAATTTCATTAATGCGACTCTCTCGCATTAACTCAAGTTGCCCACGACCACGATTGAGCCGTTCGAGGTTAGGGTGGCGAATGGCGAGCGCTTGCGATGCTCGAAGATTTACCGGGGCGTGCCGATCAAGTTTCAAGAAGTAACGGTTAAGGCGGATTTGTTTGCCTTACCTTTGGTGGGACCGGATGTGGTGCTTGGGGTACAGTGGCTCGAGGGACTTGGAGATGTGATGACTAATTATTGGAAAGGTGTGATGAAGTTCGAGGCCGGTGATCAGCTCGTTACCTTAAAGGCTAGTGAAGGAGCAACCAAGGAGGTTGGTCTAAAAATCATCGAGAAGGTGTGGCGAGGCGGCGGACAGTTGTACGCTATCGTGGTCGAACAAACAGGCAAGGACGCGGTGGTGGTCGAGGAGTTCGACCCAGGGGTCGAGGAGAGGCAGC